GGAGGTAGGTGTGAATGTGTCGAAATAGTCGACGCCATACTGCTGACACTGTCCGTTCGCCACAAGATGGGCACGCAGTTTCAACTTCTCTCCGTCTGGTCCTCGCTTGGTAGCCAGGACAAAATGGCGTGGGATAATGTTAGCGCCGTGTGGTGAGTCAACCACTTCCCATGTTCCAAGCTTTTCCAGCTGACTGATCTCATAGTCGACTGCCTCTTGCCACTCCTCGCCATCCGGGCCGTTCAGGGCCTGCTGAAGGGTAGGCTCGGGTTGGACAGCCGCTAGGGCGTACTGGTGAGTTACCTCCTCCTGCTCCTCCGCGGAGTCCTCTAGTTCGAAGATTTTGGTGGCTAACGTTGCTCTCTCTCCCTTGTTGAGGGCAGCAAAGTATCCTGGGGGCGGGTGTACTCGGGTTATCCGCGGTGCGGGTGGGGTCTCAGGGCGTTGGTGTTGCTGTCTGGGTGGGGTAGAAGGTGGCTGGGATGGGGAAGGAGAGGTAGTCTGGACGCTATTCACAGGTGCATTCTCATTCGTTCTTGCATTAGAATCGGCATTGACGGACTCCCCCTCGTCCAGCATATCCTCTCCAACAACCTCAGCTACCAGTGCGAACATAACATTTCATTCGACCGAAACGCGTCGCTTCGCTGGCCAGTACACTCTGAAACCTTTGGACTCAGTATCTATACCCACGAACAGAGCCTCCTCTGCTCTAGCCTCCAGCTTGCCTGCATGCTCCTGATGGACGTAGACAGCAGAACCGAACTCATGGGCGTTGGATAGGTTGGGCTTACTGTTATGGATCAGTTCATAGGGCGTATGACCGGGGATGGCCTTCGATGGTAGGCGATTCTTCAACCAGGTCGCATAGCTTATAGCTTCAGCCCATAGGAACTTGGGCAGGTCCTTCACAAGTAGCATCGCACAGGCAAGTTCAACCAAGGTATGGTTTAAGCGTTCAGCAACGCCATTCTGCTGAGGCGAATCATGCACAGTTAACTGATGCACGATTCCTTGCTCCCGCAGGTACTTGTTGAACTCCTCGCTAAGGTACTCTCCACCGCGATCCGAACAAATCTTCCACAACCGGACGCCTGGGTTTTGACGAGCCAGGTGTGTCTCATAGTCCTTGAAGGCTTCTAGCGCCTCACTCTTCACTTTGAGGAAATGAACCCTCATTTCACGGGAAAAGTCATCCGTAAAACTGATATAGTAGCTCGTCCCACCTAGACTGGTGGTCTGGGCTGGGCCCCAGAGATCCATATGCACGAGCTCCGTGTAGCTGAGCGCTCTATTCTTTGCTTCGCTCGGGAACAGGTGTTTGCTTGACTTTGCCTTCGCGCATGCATCGCAGAACTCGGGTGACGAGGTAGGGTCGAGTTCCAGTCCTTCGACGAGTCCCTTCTTGACTAACTGTTGCACAGCCAGTCTGGGAAATATGGCCGAGAACGCGGTGAAGTTGAGAGACTGCAAGTTTCGTCCTTGCCGCGTGCGCATGGTGCTTACAAGCGGCAACACTATAAAGGCCTTCTACCTGGGGAATTTCGGCGATTACCTTGCACTTGGGGCCTTGCGATAGAATTTTGCACATGTGGCCCTCAAAGAGTACGGCCAGGCCTGCAGCAGCTATGCGGTTGGTGGATATGAGTGTAAACGCCATGGTAGGAGCATATAGGGCATTCTTCAAGGTAACGTTCAGTCCGTTTATCGCCCAGAGGTAAGTCTATGCTCACGTCTCCGCGACCAATCACACTGAGCGTGGAACCATCTGCAGTGTGAACATCCTGGGGGGCTATATTGACGAAGTTGGTGAATTTCAATCAATCAGGACAGAAATGTGAGGTAGCGCTGGAGTCCATGATGGCTCCTGTGGTGATCAACAGGTACCTTCAACCCTTTTGCTATGCCAGCCAAGTCTGATGTTATAAAGGCATATTGGTCCTGGGCATCTGGTTCTGCAGCCATGTTAGTGTTCTGCTTCTGGGTACATCCGCCTTTGCCTCATTTCTGTTGCGGACCTTGACCTTCCTTTCCACCACCCGGTCTCCAGCAGTCTGCCTTATAGTGGCCTTTTCGATCGCAGTTGAAGCAGGTAACATCTGTGTTCGCTCCATTTGCTGCACCTGAGGTGCGGGACTTCGTAGATTGACCACCCTTGGCTGCCAGCGCGACATTGCCTCCCTTCTTCGCCGGGTGACGGTCTGTGAGCTGGCGATGCTCATGTTCCTCCATAACTGACGCTGATGAGCTCGTTGGGGGTGAGGGGCTTCTTCATTATTTTTGCGGCAGCGTTTACTGATGATAGGAGGGGGCGATACGACTCGGGAAGGGAGCCTTGTACAATGGCGTGGAAGTCTCGATCATCGAGCGCTGCGCCCATGCCAGCAAGTGACTCTCTCAACCTCAAGAGTTTGGTGAAGTGGGCTTTAACATCCCCAGCTTCATCGCACCTCGTCTCCTGCAGACGATGACGTAGGTCAATCTGTACTAGCTCCGTTTGACCTTCGTGAATCTGACAGATCTCTGCCCAGATCAGCGAGGTCATATCGAGCTTCTGAACGGAAAGCAGCAGACGATCTGTTATCGTGCTAAAAATTTGCTGCTTGACCAGCGAATCCTTTTGATAGAACTCATCAATTCTTTTATCTAGGTCGTCCAAGTCCGTCTGAGTGGGGCTCGTACCGTCGGGCTTCTTTACTAGACCCATTGTAGGGTCAGCGATGAAGACCTTAGGTTCATCTGCACGACCATCGACATAACACATCAAACCTTGAGCACCAATTGCCGTCAACGTTTGCTCCTTATAGGTGATCCAATTCGAGCCATCTTCGGCAAGCTTGGGGACGTTGAATAGGGATGAGGTGGTACCAGGGGAGCAAGATATCTGTGGCCATGGCAGGGCTCATAACCTGTAGTGAGTTACAGGTACGAGCGGACGGGAGGGACACTAGTTAAAGCAATAATCTCAGTCTGTAGTCAGAACTCTTTATTACAAGTCTTGTACCTAGTTAAAGCAATACTAGAAACTTGTTAACTGATTGTATCGCATCTGTAAAATAACGGGTACTCACATCTCAGTCTGTAGTCAGAACTGAGATGCTTGTATGGGCCAGCTCGTATCTTTATAGTACGTAGGATGGAAACGAAAAATAAATCGATTGAGAAACGGAATATATGACTGGTACGAACCGACGTCAAAGTGTCATTCGTCCATCACTCCTTTTATTGCGCTTGCACTGACATCTCGGATCCTTCAGACAGCTCTACTCATCATTCGGATCGTTTGGAGTCCAACACCCCTTCTTCCATGAAGAGTTGAACAAGAGTGTGGTAATATTACGCTGTCCCCAGCCTGTGATAGCCTTGCCGCGCTGTGGAGTGAAAAGCTTAAACTTCACCTTGTTCTACGAAGATCGGAGCAACTGTGACTACTCTCATGGCCCTTTCCAAGATGAAATGGAAGCGTTATAAACCATTGAATATTGAACTGGCAGCGCGATGCGTCGGCGAATGACGTAGTTATAGGCCTCTGACAATTCGGACCTTGAAACCTACTAGGCAGGCCTGGTGCCTAACCTCAGACCGTCTTGTCCCACATAATACAGTAACATATACCCGTCTCAGATGGGCAGCCGGGCATGACAATGTACTGATAGAGACGGGCCATCTGGTGTGGGCCGGTGGCAATAATTGTACCGTGATAGACGAGTGGGCCGAGGGTGTGGTGTATCCGAGGCAAACAGATGGGCCGGGGGTATATAGTATGGATGGTAATACAGGAATGTACTATATAGGATATCAACAATAGTAGTGAATCCAGTGGGATAGACGAGTGGGCCGGAGTAATGGAGTGCAATGTAAACGAGTGGGCCGGTAAAGGAGGTAAAATGGAGACGGGTGGGCCGCGTGATAGGGCCGGTAAACGAGGTGCGTTTGAGACGGGTGGGCCAGTAAAGGATGTGCAATTGAGATGGATGGGCCGGAGGTGCACTTGAGACGGATGGGCTGGTAAAGGATGTGAAATCGAGACGGGTGGGCCGGAGGTGCAATCGAGACGGATGGGCCGGTAAATGATGTCCAATCGAGATGGGTGGGCCAGACGTGCAATCAAGATGGATGGGCCGGTATAGGATGTGCACTCGAGACGGATGGGCCGGTATGGGACGTGCAATTGAGACGGGTGGGCCGGTAAAGGACATCCGGTCGAGACGGGTGGGCTGGTATAGGACATGCAATTGAGACAGGTGGGCCGGTAAAGGACATCTGGTTGAGACGGATGGGCCGGTATAGGACGTGCAATTAAGACAGGTGGGCCAGAGGTGCAATTGAGACGGATGGGCCGGTATAGGACATGCGATTGAGACGGGTGGGCCAGAGGTGCAATTGAGACGGATGGGCCGGTATAGGACGTGCGATTGAGATGGGTGGGCCGGTATAGGATGTGCAATTGAGATGGGTGGGCCGGAGGTGCAATTGAGACGGGTGGGCCGGAGGTACAATTGAGACAGGTGGGCCAGTATAGGACATGCGATTGAGACGGGTGGGCCGGAGGTGCAATTGAGACGGATGGGCCGGTATAGGATGTGCGATTGAGACAGGTGGGCCGGAGGTGCAATTGAGACGGATGGGCCGGTATAGGATGTGCGATTGAGACAGGTGGGCCGGAGGTGCAATTGAGACGGATGGGCCGGTAAATGACATGCAATTGAGATGGGTGGGCCGGTATGGGACATCCGGTCGAGATGGATGGGCTGGTACAGGACGTCCAATCCAGACGGTTGGGCCGGTAAAGGATGTGCACTTGAGACGGATCTGCATGATCACCAGTAGATGCATGATATCCCATCCGGTACAGAAACACTCCTTAGCGACTGAAATGCAGGCTATGCAAGTCAACTGTGCGATTATCTCATAAGTGATCTTGCTCATTGAAAGCGCACAATGTTGAGAGCATAATAGACTACTAATACAGATGAAAACATGAAAAATATGTAGTAGTATTACTTCTCCATATCACCGGAAAGCTTCTTAGCATGCCTAGCGCTCGCCAACCAACCATGTTGGAGGGATAGAGGTCCATATCGTTGGCATGGCAAAGGAGCCGAGGTGGACTGACCATTGTCCAGCACATTTGATGGCCCTCCGGTGATCAATGCGTGAAGGGTGCCAGGTGAAGGCATGGACCCCACCGGGAGAATGAGAGGTGGTACCGGTGGTGCATCACCCGGAGGAACAGATGGGCCGGATACTGTCGTGGTGAGTGCCGGGTTGATGGTGGAAGTGGATGGCACCCGTGCTTGTCTTGCGACCGGTGAGCCATCTTCAATGCCAATGAGATCACCACCGGTCTGGGCGCTCATCCAAGATGCATCCGGAGTGAAGACAGTCGTTGGTCAACGTGCGACCGAATGCACTGATGGATGGGCCGGCGACAATGGGGGGTGGATTGAATGCCGGTGGGGTTGTTGCCGTCCCTTCATCGGACCTATCCCCCCTCATATACCTCACAACTGCTTGAAGTTGGACGGACAACTCAGTTATGAGTCTCTGGTGCGCGTCCACATCCCCCTGTATCCGGTCGATCTGCACGGTCATGGCAGCATCCGATCCTTCGGCGACTTCGATGCGACGCTCCAGGTCATCTTGCCGGACGTCAACTTCCATCCTATCGCGTGTCCGGAGTGCCTCCATATCGACGCGAATCTGGGCCAACATGGCCTCCATCTCCTCATTAGCGAGAGGGTGCTGGATGGATAGAAGGGACCCAGAAGGTGCGATGGGGGAGAGTGGATGATGGACCGGAGGGATGGGTGAGTCCCAGATGTCGTCCTCTGGGGCCATAACCGGTGGTGGAGGTGGCATGTCGTCAGTGCCCGGTTCAATCCAGTGGTCTGCGGGGAAATCGTCTACCGATGCGAGAGGCGCCGGTTGTGGTGTGGTACCGCCAGTACCAGTCACTTCCGGAGCGTCATCGATCATCCGGACGTCGTCATCCTCTTCCTCTTGGATGGGACTGGGATGTCGAATATCCCTGTCTACAAGGGCGAATGAGCGCCGGAAACCTACGACCGGAAACAAGAGACTTACCTTTGCCTTTGGATGACTGCCCACCGGTCTTGCTCTGTCCGGTGGTCTTTGACCGGCTTGTCTTGGAGCGAGTGGTGACGGCTCTTGCAGGTGGTGTAGCGGCGATGCTGGGGGTGATGGTGGTGACAGCGGTGCTGTCCGCGGACACTGGGTCGGGCCTGATGCATGCCATCTTCCACTGATGGCACAAGGTGCAACTCAGGCCAACCTCACCTTTCTTCGTCAACCGCGGGATGCACTGCACATGCTTCAACCGGCATCTCTCGCAACGAGGTAAAGGTCCATCGACGTCCAGGCTATGACAAATTAGTATAGTAAAAATGATATTGACCGGACGTCTCACCGGTTGTTGGCCCTTGCCCTTCTTGCTGTGGTCCTTGCCCATGGGACGTGTAGACTAATGAAATATGTTAGCCATATGAATCACCGGTGCGATGAGAAGTAAAACCTACCGGTTTGTGTTGTTTCCCCGGCTTGATGGTGGCCTGCATCAGGATGAATGAGCCACTGGTAAGAATGAAAATGATGAACATACCTTTCGCTTGCCTTGGGTATCATCACCCTCCAAATCATCGTCGTCATCTTCTGGAATCTCATCCATCTCACTTCCCTCCAGTGCAGCGCCCTTGTTCTGTGGAAGGACAAGTATGTCCGGTAAATTTTGTCAGTTGATAGTGACTGTTTTTGAAGGCAATGAAGACTTACCTTGTGTTTGGAGGGGTTGCGTGTCGACTTCTGGCGCTGGTTGCTATGTCAGTAATGTTAAGTGAAAGAGAAGGAAAGAAACTTGCCTGGACGACCGGAAGATCATCAACATCAGTCGCCATCTCCTCATCCTCATCCTCATCCTCATCCTCATCCTCATCCTCATCCTCATCCTCATCCTCATCCTCATCCTCATCCTCATCCTCATCCTCATCCTCATCCTCATCCTCATCCTCATCCTCATCCTCATCCTCATCCTCATCCTCATCCTCATCATCTTCCAGTACCTTTGCCTTTGCCTTCTCTTTCCCTTTCCCCTTCCCCTTTGCTTTCCCTTTGTTCTTCACCTTCAGCTTCACCTTGTCAGAGTCAGTGTCGGACAAGACTTCCCTTGACTTGAGGAGACGCTTCCGGGCCCTCTTGAACTGACGCACAGGGGGACTAGTACTGAGTTCTCGCTTGCGCAATTTGGAGGGTCCGGCCGGTCCAGTCGCACCGGATGCTGTATTTCCGGGGATGCGAATGCTGAAACGGTGCGCCAGTAATGACTGACCAGAGGATGGAACAGGCTGAGGTGCAGGCGCCAGTGATGGGCCTGGGACTGGAGGTGGGACTGGTGCTGGTGCTGGTGTCTTTGAGGACATTGGTGCCGGTGCAGGTGTGGTGACCGCTGGTGCAGAGGCTGGGGCTGGGGCCGGTGCAGGTGCAGGTGCAGGTGCAGGTGTGATGACCGCCGGTGCAGGGGCTGGGGCTGGGGCTGGGGCTGGGGCTGGGGCTGGGGCTGGGGCTGGGGCTGGGGCTGGTGCAGGTGCAGGTGCAGGTGCAGGTGTGATGACCGCTGGTGCAGCACCCAATGTCTTACCATACAATGGATGCTTCATGCACATCTCCTGGTTGTGCCCAACGCGGTTCCAGTCCAGGACTTCCGCCAGTTGAGTGGTGCGCCTCTGAGCACGAAAGATTTCAGCTGCCATGGACAGCAGGCGAGGGGGGATGTAGGTAGCGACCCTCCCATGCGAATGAATCGCGTCATTCTGAGACCCTGGTATCAATACAGGCAATACACAGAAGGACATCCAACATACCACTTCACGAGCAATCTTCCGGCTCAATCCCATTTTCTCTTCCTCCGACTGGGACCGGAGCACCTGTTCAGCCATCTCATTGAGTCTGGCGATCAGAGCGATGAGCGCCTGGTTGGCAGCAGCAGCGGCAGAAGCAGAAGCAGAAGTGGAGTTGGATGACATCTGGGTAGTTAGAAAATTGCACTGGCAGATGGATGAGCTGAGTATTGAGTGAGAGCAAGTGAAAAAGACACCCGGAAGCGACCAATACAAACACTTGTGAAAAATTTTCATCACCGGATGCCCGGGCCATTGTTGCCACGTCATCATTATCTATTTTTAGCTACTTATTTCTCATTGTGTGGATGCTATTGTTGACACGTCATCTTTATCAAATTATCGCCAGCAGAGCATCTGGCTACAGTAGAACACATTCATTGTTCCGGTGATCGCATGAAGAACATCAATTTAAAGAAGGCACCCAACACAAGGAAGAAAACCATGTCATCCTCGGCGATTGCGCAAGAATATTTACAACTATCTAGTGAGGATGAAGGTGAGAAATCATTGCCTTTGGGAATCTACCTGTTGACATTATCCGGCATACTAGTATTTGACTTATTAGAGCCGGAACACGAGGAGCGCACTTACAACAACCCTTTGATGGATTGTTCAAGCATGGCTGAATGTGAGTTTTATCTCATTCCGGCCTGTCACACTGACAATTGATATTTGTCTTGGAGATTTAGATATCCTGTCAGCTCATGACCAGGTGGAAGGATGGTAAAACATTGAAGATGTTGGAGATGACCGCCGAGGAGCGCCGGTCATTAGACATGGGATTTCCATTGTCTGATGATGACCAGATGTCTGACACTTTGGACATGCAATTCCCCACACTGTCTGACGACGACCAGTCATCCAACATCGCACCCGCACCAGAGTTACAGGAATATCAGATGTTGGACCTGGGATTTCCTCTGGAGTCAGAAGTGTTAGACATGGAATTCCCACTGGAATCAGACGATGCACTGGACATGGAATTTCCTCTGGAGTCTGACAATGATGTATTTGACATGGGATTTCTACCCGAATCCGGAGATGATGGACTCTCCCTTCACCCGGCAAACTCTCTGCAAGTCAGTCATCCGGCCGGTAACACAGGTACGGTGCTAGACTATATCTAATACATCAACTTGCTCATTTTTCAATTCAATCCATGATACTCAATTAGAAGGCAGCCCTCTGGAGATGGGTTTTGACACAGATCCGGTAGATCATGTTCCGGACATAGGGAACAGTATTCAACCGGTAGAGAGCCCCTTGGAGATGGGTTTTCAAGCGGATCCGGTCAATTGTCATGAATGTTACCAACTGCACCTAAATTTCGATTATCGAACCCTAAGTCACCTTATCCGATAAGATTAGATTAGATAGATCCCTGATAAGATAAGATGGATAACCGATTAACGATCACTATCTTTACATCACATCTATACTATATCAATGTCATCCATCCTTATCCGTAACCCTAGACATACGAACTCATCACATCCTTAGAAGTCCTACGATTAGGCAACGGGTTACATCATAAGCATCTACATGCCTCTATGATCGAACCATAACCGAGAGTACTTTACGAGCTATCTCTCAAAGGGTCATCACCTCTTCACATCGCAGACCTTCACATCTTCACACATGACATGTTAAGAGTTACCTCTGTCATTCACCGAACCCCTTACATTAGAACCTGTTGCGCAGTCACAGCTAAACCCTGAAATCCCATCACAGAAGCATCGTTCATAGAGAAGCATGTTCATTACCGAAGACCCTGGAGAACCCTTAGATCCGATCATACCCGATACATCTCCAGATCCAGATCCTATCTAGATCCTTCGATCTAGATCATCAGATCCTATCTCTAATCGAGATCCTTATACGCCGAGACTTTGTCCGAACTCTCTCCCCCTTCTATCCGCTACCCTGAGCAGCAGCCCGAGAACCCTGCTTAATTACCGACCTTGCCCATGACCCTTTACCCTCTTTTTGTAGTGATTGTTGATAAGACGCCATCCCTAGGTGCATGTATGACGTATATAGTTATCACAACTTCATACTCAGTACTCCGCCCATAGTAGTATTGTCTAGGTATAGTCAGTGTATCTTAGACTTAACCTCCTGTTTCACGTTAGGGCCTAGAGTCCTCCATATACCCTTGCCTTATCCTCTCAACGAGTCCTGTGGTTGATTGCTCCGACACTACTAGTTAGTTAAGGACTGGATACATCAATGAGTTTCCGGATCAGTCATGTAAGTCTTCATTTTGTCAGATATTAATGATTAATCACCTGCATTCAGTAGCCGTCAGTCAACCGGATCCCATTGGGTTTGTTATTCAGCGGGCGGTAGGTGATTTGCAGGTTGCAGTGCACCGGTTGGAGATGGACAGGGATGGTGGTGCAATTTCGCCGGAAGAGGCCTTTGCAAGGGAGCAAGTCCTTGGGTTCACTCGAGACTTATTGCTGGCATGTCAACTGATATCGATACCTCAACTGTCAACATGATGTATCTATCCGGTCAAGCACTATCTACACCGATCTACAATACTTGTAATATAAAATGTCCATCTATCCAAATCATTACCTTTGCATATAGTGAGCTTTATAAGATGCCTTTGCATTTCTACTGGAGCGTTTTGGCTCCAGATTGGTAATGTGGGCTTCCTGTCCTGCAGTTTTCTTGCCGGTGGCCTTTGGAGGGGAAGGAGGTGTTGGTTCCGGCACCGGTCGCTTTTGAATTTTCATGGTCCGGACACCTGATGCAGGACCAAATGAGCGACTTGTAGATGCATGGTGTGAGGGCAGTGGATGACTAGAACTGGTACCGGTATTGTCTTCTGATGGTCCATTGCCCTTGACAATGACTTTGGATTTCTTTACCGGTGGGTGAGAATCCTGCTGCTCCGATTCAGATTGCACCGGATGAACCGGTGCTGATGAGACTTCATTGCGCCTGACAGTCACCTTGGATTTCTTGACCGGCAGGGGGAGAATCTTCCGGCTCTGAATCAGATTGAACTGGAGGAACCCTGCTCCGCTTGTTGGTTGGGTGAGACTTTGAAGGTGGCGATGGGACTTCATTGTGCCTGACAATCATCTTGGATTTCTTGACCGGCGGGCGAGAGTCTTCTTCCTCTGAATCAGATTGAACCGGAGGAACCCTGCCCCGCTTGTTGGTATGTTTGGACTTTGAAGGTGGACATGGGAGAACTTCTTCCTCGTCTTCTTCATCGTCTTCATCTTCTCCTTCTTCCTCCTGCTCATCTTCTTCTTCCTTGTCTCCTTCCTCCTCCTCTTCATCTTCTTCATCTTCTTCTTCATCACCCTCATCCTCACTACTTGACTTCTTTTCCTCCCTCCTGCTCGCCTTTCCGGTTGACTTTTTGACCGGAACCCTGGTCTCTGCTGCGGATTGTCTGAGTCCGGTGTCGGAATCCTCGCCCGAGATTGTTTCTACCGGTTCTCTCATCTTCTTATCGTGGCCTTCCCAGGCTTTGAATTCAAAGGTTGGGCGAACCTTGTCCTTCTGTCTCTGACACCAGAACTCTAAGAGCCGGTCGACTTCAACTAACTGAAGCTTTGAAGGTTCCTTGATCTTGCCACCGGTAGGTAAAAACTTTGCCTCAACGAAGTTACCCTGAGCATACATCACTGCGGACCATGGCACAGATGCCTTTGCCCTTTGGCTGCAAAACCCTGAAAAATAGCTGGTCAGTTGATCAACACTCCAGATGCATGATTTGTGAAACTGACTGTAGTGTTTTGTGAGGAACGTCCGGATGAGATGTTGCTTGCTCTCTAAGTTAAGGTTCTGAACGTCCGGTATTACCGGAAGCCCATAGGTATCCACCTCCAAAGGATAATCATCCTTCTTTCCCCTTGGCTTTCTGCTCTTCTTCCCATCCCCCTCGTCGTCGTCGTCATCTTCATTCTGGTCAACTCCTGGTATCATCCCCAAGTGTGATAAGTGCCTGATTGAATGATGCAAGATTGTGGAAAAAGAAGCTCACCGAACTCTTCTCCAGCATAGGCATTCCACTCTGATATCATGGGCTTCCAGTCCTTTGTACCTGTAAAACTATTGCCCTCCAACTTTTCATTGAAGTCAATTCTTCCAACCGGATCAGGCGATCTTTACCGGTTGAGGGTGAAAGTAGAACTCACCCATTGATCCTCACTTCGCCTTCCTCCGTTTTCCACGCGGACAATATGAATATCCTCATACCGGCGTGCCTCCATAACTGAGTCGCCAGGTCCTTCATCATACCGGGTGCTTTCTTCTTTGCAAACTCGGCCTGGACCTCTGTAGGAGGACCATCGCTAGACCACTCTATCGCAGTCTGCTTTGCTTCCTTCAGCTGCTCTTTTGATAGACTGGCCATGACTGCAGTGAGGGTTGGCTGGTATCTTTTGATGAATTCCTCCGATCCAGGCCTTGCTCCGGTCTTTTCAATGATCTCCTCCTTGTGCTGCTGTTCTATCACCGACCGGGCATTCCATTTCTGACCCAACTTCTTTTTGCGAGTCTTTTCAGCTCTCCGGTTATAGAACCACTCCCGGTACATCTTGATCCATCATGAAAAAGTCAGCAGTCATGTATAACATTAGAAGATCAACTGCTCACTGTTTTCCTCTTCTTCAATAACTGGGCATGCATAGCAGGGGCATGCACTTTGGCCTCTTTTGTGGCCGCCTTCAGAATGACTTTTCTATCCTCAGTGGCTGCTTCCTTCCATTTTTCTAGGTGAGATTGTAAGACCAGCACCTCTTCCTCCGTCAATTTTTGCTTCTTAGTCTTTTCTGGGCTGTCCACTGATGAGTTGGATGGGGGCATTGCAAAGTAGTTGAAGGGTTGGTAGACAAAAGCATGTATGTGTATCGCACAGTATTAGGTCACTTAAGCAATGTACCTGACAGCAAACCGAACAAGAGATTATCTGCCAGCGAGTCAACACTCATTTATTGGCATGATACCCTCAACATCTCATGTGTTTCCGGTCCATATAATTTAGAAATGTAAAAACACACAGACTTGGACCTTTATCATATAGTATACGAGCAGCATACAGCTATACCCTCAAACATTGCATACAGGCCCTATTCAGCTATACCCTATGACTTGCTCGAGTAAGTGTCATCACAAATGACTTTGGAGGCCAGCATGAATGCAGATACATACAGCCAGTCTCCTGAACATCCCCCGGCAGTGCTTCAAGTGCTGGAGGAGGACAAGAGCAGCAAATGTGACAGAGCCATGCGGTTTGGTGTGGTGCAAACCATAGGCAATGAAATGTTGCAACTTGACTTGAGAATTCAAAGATGATAGGGGATACTGAGGACAAGCAAAGAGATGAATAATAAAATATGTGCACAAATGAGAAGCCTGTTCATGTCCATAGAATGGGTTATTTGGTTTGAAGTGTTCCCTTGGAGCATGTTTTACGATGCCAGTGTCCTCACTGAAGTTCATGCAATGTGTTCATATCGTCTCACATACATCATCTAACCGGGAAGTATAATTTTCTGGCAGTGACACTGAATGCCATAATCCATCAATTATTGTTGTGATTGCCTACATGCATCCTCTAACTCATACCTACCGCTTCAGCCTGAGCTCCTGTTATAATACCTGAATTACTTCTGAGACCAACACCCAGTGACACTGAGTAGAAAGAAGTATATGTTACTGCCGGAGCCTCTTAATCTTGAACCTTGAAATGTCACCGGTGACTCCAACCTATATATATCCTAAATGGAGAGATATTTTGGGACTTCATTATCCTTTATGGTCATATGACAATGATCCGGTTGGATTATCAAATCGGTCCTTTGCTCCGGTAGGCACATGACTGTTGCTGAATGACTAACAGCAAGGCAAAATATCCTTTATAGTAATATGACACCAGAACAATGATCGGTTGTATTATAAAATCAGTCCCTTGCTCCGGTAGAACTTCACATCAGGTTGCTGAATGACTAACAGCAAGGGGATATGTCCTTTATAGTAATATGACACCAGAACAATGATCCGGTTGGATTATCAAATCGGTCCCTTGCTCCGGTAGGCACATAACTTCAAATCTGGTTGCTCCATGACTAAACAAGAGAAAATGAGCTGATGCCGACGGTTCGGAGTTGATGGAAGCACGATCCAGTGGAGTCAAGTACCTCCCAGTCATCAAGCCTAAGTGCACTCCCTGGTTGAACAATCCTTTCCGGTGGTGGTATCAATATGGCAAAGACTAAACAAACAGGAATAACATACACTCCTCCCATGAAGAAACGATTGCCTCAGCTGTATAAGCTCAAGGAGAAAACTACAGCCAGAGGATCCAGATCATCTTGGGTGAAAGACTCATGGTCTCCGAAAGCAAAGTCGGTAACATCATCGCCGATGAAATCTCCCTCAAAGCAAAAATCCGGGTCATCTCGGATGCTCCATGAAGGTCCTGACTTTGACTTTGACCAAGGTGACATCCCCCAGCCCAAATTACCGAAATCTCTGGCAAGCAGCAGTCATCCTCATTTCCAGAGTCTGGATCTGACCGGATCATACAGGGTCAGAATGCATATCTCCGGCAATGGAAGGGCAAGTTCAAAGACTATATAAACTTACTCATGGTCAGAGAAGCCCCTCCGGCAGACCGACTTTGCTCAGTGTGCAAGAAGGATGGGGTGTATAAATGCCATGGCTGTTTCAATGAGCCCCTCTTTTGCACAGACTGCTGCAGAATCCAGCATCAAAGACATCCATTCCATCGCATCAGTCAATGGACCGGATCATTTTTTCAAGAAACTTCACTCATTAAAGTCGGCCTCCACATTCACCTCGCTCATGACGGCACTCCATGTCCCAGCAGCACAGATTACATGTCAGACGTCTTTGAATGGTCAGATACCGATGAAAATATAGACTACAACGACTATCCGGAGGGACCTTCTACCCCACCGGTCACAAATTCAGATCATCCGGCCATAACTGTAGTGGACAAGTCCGGAGTTCACTCTCTTTCCATATGGTATTGCCACTGCCCCGGTTCTCTCAACCAAGACATGCAGCTCTTCCAAGCAGGCTTGTTCCCAGCTTCTTTCACCAGACCGAAAACTGCATTTACATTCTCTGTCTTGGACGACTTTCTGCTAGATAATCTCGAGTGCGGGACATCAGCGATGAATTACTACAGCAAAATTCGCAGACTAACCTCAAGCATCTTTCCACTGATGGTTCCGGTAAGCTAGGTGTCATTTTCTGTACTTGACCATCCCGTCATTAAAGAACAATATCTGTAGGATCGCTACAGAGAGCTCATGAGAACTTCCAGGCAGTGGCGACAATGCAAGCTTTACAAGTGGCATGGATTTGCCCACAAAGATGACCAGCCAATGGCCGGTGATCTCGCCCTATTTTGCCCCGCATGTCCGCAACCTGGGATAAACTTGGACCTGTCTACCGGTGTAGTCACCCAGCCTGACGACGCACCTTCTTGGCTCATCACCAGGTCTTTGGTCATGGATGGTAATTTTAAAGCCGAGCACATGCATCCGGTGAATCCATCCGACGAAGTATCATTGATGGATGGTCTCGCATTCATGGTCTCCGATGAAAGATACAAGAGTCATTTGTCCGTTGCTCAAGACCATGTCCAAAAGTCAGATTGCAACAATCACCGGGCGGTCAATCAAGCAAACGCCTCCCGGCAAAGGCTGGAAGCCACCGGTATAGGAGGGTGTGCATGTGCACGGCATGGATGTTTTGTCCCACATTCCATGGTGGATTTTCAGAGGGGCGAAAGGTGAGTACGCATTGCATCCGGTCACTTCGATCTCTGGGCTTACAGGTCTTACCGGGAATAATCAGGCAGATGAACATGGACTATGCGTTGAGTCAAGCACTCAACTATAAGACCGATGGAATCTCTCGAGCCATAACTTTCTATGACATAAATTGTCAGTATAACAAGTATTTGAAGGACCGGATCGCTTCCAGTATATATCTTTCCATCCCCATCGGCATGGATATCATTCCCGGAATAGGTTTGTGGCATGTACATGGCCATCAAGACAGCTGCTTTGTCCGGTATGCATCAAATTTCATCCACGGGGCTGGCAGGATAGATGGAGAGATCATGGAGACCCTCTGGGCGCCTTTGAATATCATCTCCCCATCAGCCAGGGGCATGGGAACCCCGCATCGCAAGGAGGTATTGGATTATCAGATGAATGATTGCAACTTCATGAAAATGATTCGCATCAGTAAGTCGCCCACCTCCGGATGTTCAAATATATTCCGGTCTAATACATGATACTTTCCGGCTGATTCGCCCTGTAGCTAAGTTTCTCTGCAGAAAGTTAAAAGAGGCAATCAAGGGTGCTGCGGAGAGCAAAATTGCATTCCAAAATCTCAGCGAAACAGCTCACCCTGACATGGTCATTCTTTGGGAGGCAGAGGAGGCACTCGCTCATGCGAACAGACTGGATGATCCGACAGCTATGGACATCTATGAGGTCCGGTTGGAAAAGGGTAAGTGTCCACTTCTACCGCTCCTCCGGTAGGTCTGATCACGTTCTGATTATCATCCGGCCATGTGCAGCTCCCACTAGAAAACAGCAGGAGTTGCGCCTCCTGCAGGCTCAAAATCGCCCAGAACATCCGGTTACCAACTCCCCTGGTCGCCGAGGAGCTGCCACCTGGCTCGCAACCGGTCTCACCATAGAGGAATCTCAAATCTCTCTTGCTAGGGATGTGAAACAGCTGGGAAAGCATCCCACAGACATGCAATTATTGAGAGTGGCCCGACTCCGAGACAAGCTTCAAACTCACATCACAAGCTTTCTCATGGTGGCACCTACTTATCTCGGAGTTCAAGTCGATGTCAACGACCCGGATTTGCTGGTCAACAGAGTTTGTAATTCACTCCCGGATGATTATGAAGACGACTCCGATCTCGATGATGATCCGGAGCCGGATATACACGATACTTCCATATTTCAACCGGAGCTCACTGTCATACCCCTGCCATCCAATATTGGTCAGGTCAGGTGCAAGGATTTAGGTCTTATGGATCTCATGAAAGAAGAAACTACCCTTCGTGAAGGCCAGGCCAATGATGCACTCCATGCCATTAGAGTTCATTTGGTAGATAAAGCCGTCATATTCCGCAATACTGTCCGGTCAGCCAAGTCACAGGCCTCATCCACCAGGGCATGGACTCAAGTTCGCTCGGTGGAAACAGCAGTAAATCTCAATGCCAGTATATATTCGAAATGCAGGTTGCAACTGGCTAATCTCCCTGACCACGACCTCTTGAAGAAATACCTTCCTTTGAAGAAAGAAGACCTGAAAGCAAGCTCTGCAGTGGCCGATCCCAATGCACGTGGTCAGAGGGACACGACTCTTTCATGGTTCTGGTCCTTGGATGTTCAGGGCGACACATCAGGCAATGACTGGATGACAGAATGTGAGTGTCTGCTGTATCCGGTGGTATCAGGATGTCCGGTCTCACATATTCTCAATAGTTTATCGGGTGAATTGGCTCCGGACGAAAGCACTGCGTGATCGTTGGAATGAGGAGGTTATTCTTGTCAAACATGAAATGCAGTGGTCCATTAATTTCTTTAACCACAAAGCCAAGCAATGGCTCAGTCACATGGACACCGCGACTTCTGCAGGGCTCACCGGACATACATGTTATGCTGCCCGACAATCTCACATATATCACCAACTAGCAGGACATGCAGAGGATACTTTCCGGAAGATGATAGGTCAGCCAGAACTACCGGTTTGATGGTTCATGGTACCGGTCGGATAGTTCATGGTACCGGTCGGATAGTTCATGCCACCGGTCGGATGGTTCATGGTACCGGTCGGATGGTTCATGCCATCGGTCAGATGGTTCATGGTACCGGGCGGGTGGTTCATGGTACTGGGCGGGTGGTTCATGTTACCGGTTGGATATATAGTTCATGGTGCCGGGTGGATAGTTCTTGGTACCGGTTGGACAGTTCTTGGTACCGGTTGAATCTTTCATAACACCAGTTAGGTAATATGAAATTATGGTTGACACATGTAAATAATTCTGAGTGTCGGTCTCACTACAGCCTCACATTCCCTCCATGAACAATACTGTAACTCTCATCCCCCCTGACCAAGTCATCATTGCTGCTAAGGGCAATCAAATCACTGCTGGGGATATCTCTCGCGCCTTATTCTATGCCAATTCCCGGTTGTTGGCCATGCGCCTCTATGTTGACAAGAGTTTTGCCACTGACATGCCTGGCTATGCAACAAATTTTTACATCTTGATGAAATGGGAGATGGAGGTAGCTATCCGGCAATGCTGATATTCCCTTGCACTCATCTTCTACACTGTCATACAGACCTTTGTAACTCCATTCATCAATATATCATTTATCACCCGGTTGTCCGCTGTCATTCCCCACCTTCTCAAGGGGGTGCTTGCAATCATGACCGCACACACATTGGTGGACCGGCGACCGGATGTTGATGCTATCCTGCAGGATATCAAGGCATTGCGCCTCTCTGTTGATTCCAATGCATGCGATGACTATGACATTGCTCATATGCCGGACTACTTCAATGACTGGTGGAAGGAAAGTCTCGGTTCTTGCCGGGTGTCCGATATGTTGCCAAAGTCATCCATCAAAGATGTGATGGATTTGGTTGAATTTCACTGTTCACAACTCGTAAGTCCCTCAGATCATGTTAATCTTTGCCGGATGCTCACAACATCCAAAATAGCCGGATCATGTAAGGTCCGGCATGCTCCCATATATTCTTCAGGGTCCGGATCCGCTGCCAGATACAACCGGTTCAACATCTCTTGTGCAGTGCCACAAGACGCCAATTGGGAGAGAGTTGCTGGATATGTTACAGGGAAGGATGAACAATTTTAGAAGCTCAAGTGATAGGTTGGCCGGATTGGTTGGGCCGATTGATGAACTCACAAGGGCTGTCGCATCCTCACAGGCACTCATTGACCGGTTGAACACAGATGTCAGTGCATAGTGCATCCTGGGTGCAGTCAAGGACAACCTGACATCTTCCAGCATCCGGTCAATATGTTATACTATTATATGTTACTGTCATATTCACTGCAATGTAAATGAGAAGCACCGGTTTTTGTCTTTGCAATCAGGCCGTGTGAATGTGAAACTATTTTCTCTAACTGCTATCTCTCCGGCTATCATTCAACAGTGGTGTTTTTCCATCACTCATTTGGTTTTCCAGACATGGTCGCAATCCCACTAGACTGGGCTTTGTATCAGACCTACCTTGCTGGTGAATTGGTTCACGAGATTTTCATGTCCACAATTCATCAACGACCGGCAAAAAACATGAACCTTGGACTCTTGGATATTGACACTTGCATTGCATTAGAGCATCTTGCCAATGTGATGGCCTCTGCATACTCCAATGCCGGTAGGTATGCCGGTCCATCGCCACATTCCGGTCAACTAACCACCATACAGTTCATCTCAAAATAGACATGGTCAGATACAATGATGCCCTGGACAAAGATGAATCCGGTCGAAGTGCAAAACGAGAGCAGACCCTCTTCGACAGATTCCCCCCGAACAGGAGCATTTCTTGACAACACCAGCCGTCATCGTCGATTCCGGAGGTAGAATCATTGTCTGGTATTTGCCTGGAGCTATGACTGCTATGATGATGGTCAGTCTTCCATTGATCTTCATTTGAATTTCAGCTCAGCCGGACATACATAACAGCAAGATATGCATGGTGCAACGCATTCCATGAGTGATTTATTGAAGCACAGCATAACAACTGGTAGGACTGTTGAATGGAGGACCCATCGGTCTAACTTTCATCCAAGTCCGGATGGCAAGATTACGCCCGGTTGCATCAATATATCCCCTGCATGGTTTCAGCAAGGAAGAGAGGTACGTCCGGTCCATATATATTGAAGTCGCCGGTTTGAAGTATTCTAGAAACATGGTTTTCCAAAGCTTGACCCGGAAGATGGGTTTTCGCCCGAGGTATCCGCTGCACTGAAAGGTGATGTCGGTCGGAACATTACGACCTCCCTTCAAAGGTCCGGTATACTAGTTTCGGCTGCACTTCGAGTCATGCACCCTGATCTTTATTGGGCCGGAATGGAAACCCAAGTCAGGCTGGGCGAATGGGCAACCCGATATCATTTGCATGAGATGTACCATCATCTACAACACTGGACATCCATATTCAATGTTGTGTCGGTCATATGCAATCGCCGGACACCGCCTCATAGAGACCCAAAGTGCCGACCGGCGGCATTTGATATCATGACAACCGCTGGTGTTTATCAGCCGGTTATCATGGATTTTATGAACCTCGGAATCAAATTTCTATACAACTCCGGCTCAATGTTGGCTTCATCATGTCGCCTGGTGAGACATTACATGAATGTTGAAGAAGGCAACCGGATTGTCACTGCGTGGTACATGCGAGACAGCATTCACAACTTTGTCGGGACTCCAAGCACAGAGTATGCAAAATATAGCAATGTAAAATTCAGCGACCCAGTGGAGATGGAATGGGTTTGAGGACTCTGGGTCAACGGACTGTAGATATTTAGACAAGTGATGTCATTCAAAGATATATTTCCGGTAGATCTTGTTTTGCTATACAATGAATCCCCCAGTGGTTCTATCATGGATACGCTGGTTACTGTATGGATCCACCAAATATGGATTTGCATGCACACACCGGTCTCCATTGCACCCCATAGTACCGGCCCACCCGTCTTGATTTCACCTGGTCTACCGGCCCACCTGTCTTAATTTTACCTGGTCTACAGGCCCACCCGCCTCCACTGCACCCAGCAATGCCAGCCCATTGTCTTGATTTCACCTGGTCTACTGGCCCACCCGTCTCCACTGCACCCCATAACCCCGGCCCACCCGTCTTGATTTTACCTGGTCTACCGGCCCACCCATCTCCACTGCACCCCGCAATGCTGGCCCACCTGTCTTTATTTCACCTGGTTTACCAGCCCACTCATCTCCACTGCACCCCGCAATGCCGGCCCACCCATCTCCACTGCACCCCAACCCTGGCCCACCTGTCTTGATTTTACCTGGTCTACTGGCCCACTTGTCTCCACTGCACCCCGCAATGCTGGCCCACCTGTCTTGATTTTACCTGGTCTACGGCCCACCCGTCTCCACTGCACCCCATAACCCTGGCCCACCCATCTTGATTTTACCTGGTCTACCGGCCCACTTGTCTCCACTGCACCCCGCAATGCCGGCCCACCCATCTTGATTTTACCTGGTCTACCGGCCCACCCGTCTCCACTGCACCCTATCACCCTGGCCCACCCAGCTCAATTTCACCTGGTTTACCAGCCCACCCATCTCCATTGCACCCCGCAATGCCGGCCCACCCGTCTTTATTTCACCTGGTTTACCAGCCTACCTGTCTCCACTGCATCCCATAACACTGGCCCCCTCGTCTACATTGCTCATCTTCCGGCCCACCCGTCTCAACTTCACCTCGTTTACCGGCCCACGCCGCCGGCCTACTCATCTCCATTGCACCCTATCCCGGCCCCCTCGTCTTCATTGCATCTCATCTACCAGCCTCGTCTCCTCATCTACTGGCCCACTCGTCTCCATTGCACCCTATTACCCGGCCCCCTCGTCTCCATTGCACCTTATTTACCAGCCCACTCGCTATCACACACTGGATTCACCACCATTCATAATTACCTATATAGTACATTGCTATACTACCATGCATACTATATACCCCCGGCCCATCCGTTTACCTCGGATACACCACACCCTCGGCCCACTTGTCTATCACAGTACAATTATTGCCACCGGCCCACACCGGATGGCTCGTCTCTATCGGTACATTGTCACGCCCGGCTGCCCGTCTCAGACGGGTGAATTCACTGAAGGGGCTCGCTGGGGGGCTCGTGGGGGAGGCTTTTCAGGCTTGTGAAGCACACGAACCCTTGCAACCTCATCATGGAGAGCTGCAATTTGATCCCAAAGCCGATCATAATGTGAAGTGATATCATCAGAATCATCAGATTCATCAGATCCATCAGAAAATTCACCAGAGGTGTCAGAGGAAAGAGTCAGTGAAGAGGTGATGTCCATGCTTGAATCAGAGTTGGAATCAGAGCTTGACTCCTGAGCTTCCAATGCCTGCTGATATTGGAGTTGGGCTAATGACAATGCAGCTTTATCAACTGCATGAAGGAGATCTTTGCGGCTGGATTTGCAAGGCATGATGAGAGCTCAAGATTGAGGGATGTGTCCCCTTATCACCCCCTGACTGATGTGCAACTGATAATCTGAGTTTCAATTTTGACCACACTCATCATAGATGACAGTGAAACTCCACTGAAATATCTGAGCTACCTATCAGCAAGGGAGAGGTATTCTTCCTTGGTAATCCACCCCCATCTCAAATATTCTTGCTCAACAAGCCCCCCAATCCAATCCTTAATAACACTGATCTCTGGTGAGGGATATGTGGCTGAAAAGCTGAGTTTTAATCAGAGTTTCAAATTTGACTGCGGTCAGTGCGCTAAGTCTCATTGTGGATGACAGCGAGCAACCATCCCATCCCATCCCATCCCACAATGTGACAAATGTCATCACATTCCACTCACCAAACTGCTCCTGGCGCTCCCCCTTCCTGTTCTCTAATCCAACATGCAGCGCCAAAGTCTTCGCCTCCCAACCAGGAGTTGCTGGAGATTTCTACTCACTCACTCGTCCACATGGGGGGGGCTGGTCCCCTTACTGACCAAAACACTCCTGATGCTTGGCTCGCTCCCCCAGACCCTCAGCTCCCACTCCCAAGCCCACATGCTGCCAGCGCTCAGCCCAATCCTGCAAGCACTTTGTACCCCTCCCTTCACAGCACCCCCCCTCCTCATTACACCAGCACTGGGGGCAGTCCAATTGACAATCTGGACGGCTCGCTCCCCCAGACCCTCAGCTCGCTCCCCCGAACTCTCAGCTCCCACTCCCAAGCCCACATGCTGCTAGCACTCGAGCCCATTCAGTCACATACCCTGTATAAAACAGGCAGCCAAGGGTGAAAATTCCCTGTTCCAAACAGGCCAGCGGACCTCGGCTGACCGAAAATATTTTCCCGTGTCTAACGTTCGGCCGGTGGTCTCAATGGGAGTTGATTTTAACAGGTGGGCCCATATGTAGTGATACTTGATATTATCATGTCGGCCAATGGCCAGGGGAAAATGGTGGAGTGTGTGATGTTATCAGCTGGGCCGATGTGGAATATAGCAGCTGTGTGTACCAGTCGGCCGATGATGGGTGTGAAGCCATCATATGGGCCGACCGATGAAAATGAATATCTGATGCCATCATGTGGGCTGATGGAAGTGAATGCCTGATGCAATCAGATGGGCCGACAGCATGTGTTGGCTGATGCAATCAGGTGGGCCAATAGGAGCTGATACTATCAAATGGGCCGATGGCAATGAATTCCCGATACTATCGTGTGGGCCGAGAGAATGTGTTGGCTGATGTAATCAGGTGGGCTGATAGGAGCTGATACCATCAAATGGGCCGATGGCAACAAATTCCCGGTGTTATCAGATGGGCCGATAGAATGTGGTGACTGATGCAATCAGGTCAGCCGATAGCAGCTGATAACATCAAATGGGCCAATGGCAATGAATACCTGATGCTATCAGATGGGCCAATAGAATGTGGTGGCTGATGCAATCAGGTCGGCCGATGGGAGCTGATACCATCAAATGGGCCAATGGCAACGGATAATGACAAAAATGAAAAACATCGGTCAGGATATGACCGAAATCCAAAACATCAGCCGGGATATGACTGAAGTCAAAAACATCGGTAAAGATATGGCCAAAATCCAAAACATCAGCCAAGACATGACTGAAATGGTGAAGTCAAAAACATTGGTCTAGATATGGCCGAGATTGAAAACATCGGCCGAGGCATGACTGAAAAGGCTGAGATATGACTGAAATCAAAAACATCGGCCGAGGCATGACTGAAATGGCCGAGATATGACAAAAATCAAAAACATCGGTCAGGATATGACTGAAATCAAAAACATCGGTCTAGATATGGCCGGGATTTAAAACATCGCCCGAGGCATGACTGAAATGGCCGAAGTATGACAAAAATCAAAAACATCGGCCAAGGCATGACTGAAATGGCCGAGATATGACAAAAATCAAAAACATCGGTCAGGATATGACTGAAATCAAAAACATCAGTCTAGATATGGCCGAGATTGAAAACATCAGCCAAGGCATGACTGAAACGGCCCAAGTATGACAAAAATCCAAAACATCAGCCAAGACATGATTGAAATGGCCGAGATATGACTGAAGTCAAAAACATCGGTCAATGTCATATCCCGTACCTCTGGATCCGGAATTCCAGATCTACTTCATTGAAGTCCGTTTCTCCATCTTACTATTCCACCCAGCGCTCCGCCTTCATCTCTGCACTCACCCCTAACTCCTTTTAGATTAGCTATTGCTCCAGTTACCGGTTATGTTCTTTCCACTATGCTTATTGATCTGTCCATTCCTACTTCATTTCCGACTTCACTGCTTTGATCCGCTACACTTAGTAATAGACTTTCCACATGCTTTTTACATAGCCCTTACCTTTGCTGACTGATTTACTTACATGTTACCTACAGTATATAAACTCCTGTAATACTCCGGAACTCCTCAGTTCGAATATCATCTTAGTTCTGCTCATTCCTGCAATCTCCGGACTTGAGTCTCATCTCTTGTCCACCTCCGAGTCTTAGGGGTTAAACCTTAGGACTACTTCTCCGGCTCTACCTTAGGGTAGTCTAACCTCTGTTCAGTTTCTACTCCGGACTTCCATAGTAGCCTTACTCTGTCCCAGTATAAACCTTCCAGAGTTCCACCGAACTCCACCGACACTAAGTCCTCCAGAACTCCCTGGACTTCCATTGGACTTCCCCTCTGTCCCCTGGAAATTAAAGGGCACGTACTCGGGTAAGGGGCGCAGTGCACAAGCTGAAGCCAAAGCCCTTTGAGTAACCTCTCCCTTGAGCACAACCTTAACAGTCAAGATCTAAGTAGTATGACCGAGATCCAAAATATCGGCTGGCCGAAAGTTGTTTTTATGCTTCACATTGTTAACAACAGTTGTAGCCCCAGTAAAGGCGATCATATCCATAGTCTTATTATGTCAATCGGTTATCATCTGACCGAGATATAAGCTAAATAAATGCAAGACATCGGCTGGCTGAGATGTGACTGAAATCTGAATTATGGCTCATAACTTTCTCAGATCTGAACCATTGTTGAAGATTAGACCACCAAGGTGTTCGCCTAGATGAGTACTACCCATTTGAAGGCAACTGGGTCCAAAATGATCAGTTGAAATTGATCCTGGAGTGGTCTTTTGGTTTTTGCAACAGGTAGGCAACTGCACAAAGTCACATTTATATATAATTCAAGTTGAAGATTTCATTAAAAATATGTAGGATAGACCATAAACTACCTAAGGAACCCATACTACCTACTGCCCTGAGGGTAGGGGGTGAGTGGAAGGGATGTAGTGTAAATGTGTGTTGACCTAGCATTAAAGCCCTACTATTGCTCAACTGACCATTTTCGATGTTTTGGGTCCTTGAGCTTTCTCACACTCAATTTCTTATCTATTTCACTTCCTCAGCATTCAATTCTTGTTGGATTGTTCTGTAAATTTATACATATGATGCTGAATATATTTTGAATGTACTCCAAGTTTCTGATTATTAAATTTTGATGATTTGAAGGTATTGATCTCTTATCAGTAGAAATAGCAAGCATATGCAGTATCTCAAACCAACAACCTATTTTGAACTGATCTTCATCATGAAAGGAGGTATATATACTATTCTCATGATATATGAACAGGGTTGATCAGATGTGCAAGGGTAAGATACTGAAAAACATCAAAAATGCCAAAAATGCGATTTTCTATCATTTTGTTCCTGTAGAAGGATCCTATGTGTGTCCTGGGCTGGCTATATAATATATACACTCCAAATAAGCTTAGGAATGGATTTCAGTCATATCTTGGCCATATCTTGACCGATCTTTTTGATTTCGGTCATATCTCGGCTGTTTCAATCATGCCTCGGCCGATGTTTTGGATTTCGGCCATATATTGACTGATGTTTTTGACTTCGGTCATATCTCAGCCGATGTTTTTGATTTCAGTCATATCCCGACCGATGTTTTTGATTTTGGCCATATCCCGACCAATGTTTTTGATTTTTGTCATATCTCGGCCATTTCAGTCATGCCTCGGCTGATGTTTTTAATCTCGGCCATATCTAGACCGATGTTTTTGATTTTGGTCATATCCCGACTGATGTTTTTGACTTCAGTCATATCTCGGCCATTTCAATCATGTCTCGGCCGATGTTTTGGATTTCAGCCATATCTTGACCGATGTTTTTGACTTCAGTCATATCTCGGCCAATGTTTTGGATTTTTGTCATACTTGGGTCATTTCAGTCATGCCTTGGCCGATGTTTTCAATCTCGGCCATATCTAGACCGATGTTTTTGATTTTTGTCATACTTCGGCCATTTCAGTCATGCCTCGGCCGATGTTTCCAATCTCGGCCATATTGTGACCGATGTTTTTGATTTTGGTCATATCTCGGCCCATGTTTTGGATTTTGGTCATATCCCAACCGATGTTTTTGATTTTTGTTATACTTCGGCCATTTCAGTCATGCCTTGGGCGATGTTTTCAATCTCAGCCATATCAAGACCGATGTTTTTGATTTCAGTCATATCCTGACCAATGTTTTTGATTTTTGTCATATCTCGGCCATTTCAGTCATGCCTCGGCCGATGTTTTCAATCTCGGCCATATCTAGACCGATGTTTTTGATTTCAGTCATATCCCGACCGATGTTTTTGATTTCAGTCATATCCCGACCGATGTTTTTGATTTTGGCCATATCCCAACCGATGTTTTTGATTTTTGTCATATCTCGGCCATATCTAGACCGATGTTTTGGATTTTGGTCAGTCATATCCCGACCGATGTTTTTGACTTCAGTCATATCTCGGCCATTTCAATCATGTCTTGGCCGATGTTTTGGATTTCAGTCATATCTTGACCGATGTTTTTGATTTTGGTCATACGTCGGCCGTTTTAGTCATGCCTCGGCCGATGTGTTCAATTTCGGCCATATCTCAACCGATGTTTTTGACTTCAGTCATATCTTGGCCATTTCAATCATGTCTTGGCTGATGTTTTCAATTTCAGCCATATCTTGACTGATGTTTTCAATTTCGGTCATACCTCAGCCGATTTTTTCAATTTCAGCCATATCTTGACCGATGTTTTTGTGACTGACTGACCCATTGACCGACTGACCCATTGACTTACCAACCCATTGACCAACCGACCCCCATTGACCAACCGACCCCCATTGACCAACCAACCCAATGACCTACTGACCCCCATTAACCTACCCCCATTGACCGACCCCCATTGACCTACCAAATTGACCTACCGACCCCCATTGACCGACCGACCCCCATTGACTGACCAGTATCCTTGGCCCATCTGATATATCAGATCCCTGACCCACTCGGCCCACCTGTTTGTATCAGGTACATATTTCATACACTACCTACCATACACTATCAACCAAAATCAATAGAAATATCTATGCTTATCTATTACACCCTACACCGCATACCATAGGCCCACCTGTTGCTATCACAAACACATTTTGACCGGCCCACCTGTTTGTATCAGGTACATATTTCATATACTAACAACCACACTATCTACCAAATTCAATAGAAAAGTGTACACTTATTTCCTATACCACATACTATGGGCCCACCTGTTGGTATCAGATAAACACTTGACGTCGGCCCACCTGTATTTAACAGAACAGTACATTGATGGGCCCACATCAGCTGGCCTGTTTGGAACAGGGAATTTTCACCCTCAGCTGGCTGTTAGTATCAAGGGTAAAGTGACTGCAGTATGTGAGCGCTCAGCTCAATCTATCCCCCCCCCCTCATTACACCGGCACT